CACAATTTAACAGCAAAAAAACCCCCCCAAAACAAACAAACAAAAAAAAAAACAATTAAAAAATGGACAAAGGATGTGAACAGCCATTTTTCCAAAGGAGACATAGAAATGGCCAAGAAGTCGGTAAAGAGACATTCACCATCACTATCAGGGAATTGCAAATCAAAACCACAATGAGATGTCACCTTATACCTGTTAGGATGGCTATCATCAAAAGGACAAGAGACAGTATGTATGTACGTATGTATGTATGTATGTATGTATTTATTTATTTATTTATTTATTATTGGGGAGAAAGACTGAGAGAGAGAGAGCAGGAGCAGGGGAGAGGGACAGAAGGAGAGAGAGAGAGAGAGAGAGAGAGAGAGAGAGAGAAAATCTTAACTAGTCTCCATGCTCAGGACAGAGCCTGATGCGGGGCTTGGTCCCACGAGCCTGGCATCATGACCTGAGCTGAAATCAAGAGTCAGATGCTCAACCGACTGAGTCACCCAAATGCTCCGAGGTACAACTTTTAGTGAGGTGTGGAGAAAAGGGAGAACTGACTTGGGTGAATTCACTTGGGTGGGAATGCGAACTGGTGCATGCAGCCACTATGGAAAACAGTATGGAAGTTTCTCAAAAAATTAAAAATCAAACTGCCATATGATCCTGCAGTCCAATTCTGGGTATATATCCAAAGAAAATGAAATCAGTATCTGAAAGTGATATTGTTTGGGAACGTCATCAAAGAGACGTGACCACCAGCTGACCCATGACCTGGACCCAGGCACTTGGAGGTTCCTCATGCCTTCCCCTGTTCTTGGAATGGTGGTTCTCACTCCCAGAGGACACAGCCTTGAGATAGTGATGTGGTGATGAGAACACCTGCATGGTGTATGTGACCGAGCCCAAGCAGGTGGGGGGCACCCACCGGTCTAGCTGTCTCCCAAGACAAGCCTCTCATGTAAATTCCTTTTGTAAATTCCTTTATTAAAACTGCCACCTACCAACCTGGAGTGGCCTGCCTCTATTTGCCTTCTTCATATGGGGCTGGTTTCAGATTTCGCCTGGGAATCTCCCGAGAGGATTATGAACCAACAATTGGTGAGCCAGTCAGCAGATTGAAAAAATGGGCCTTGGTCAAGAGGCATCTGCAGGGGGACTCCTAAGTTGGCCATCGACTTCTGTGTGTGTGCGGGGGGCGGAGGGGGGTGACTTGTATGTCAGATGGACCACTGCATGACTACAGGGACACCCCAAAAGCACAGGCTGATATAATGCACTTGGTGAAGCTGCTCAGGGCACGCTGTGAGGGAGGAGGGAAGCATGTCGTTGCCGCGGTGGGCTGACCTCTACTGTGGGCAGTTCGCTGGCCACCAGGCCCGACTAGAGGGTGAAGCTCGGGTTAGAAAGTTAGAAGAGCTGAGGTTAGAGAAGGATGTGGGGGTGTCCACTAGTCTGTTACTTTCAGGGCTGGAAGACAGGGGTGGGAGAGCAGGATAGTCCGTTGGAGACCTTAGGGTGCTGTTTTGCAAAGCCAGGAGGGTGCAAGCTGCCACTGATTAAGATCCGGGCATTTGTGGCAAAGCCTGCTTAGTGCACAAAGAGGTGAAATCTTTGAGAAAGTGATGAAATGAAGGAAAAGAGGAGAATGTTATGGTAACTGCTGAAAACACAGACAAAACACCCCATGCTTTCTGACCCTTACCAAAAAAAAATTTTTTTTTTTTTAAATAGCAGTTACTCAAAAACTTCTAGAAAACTTGCATTCTTTCTCTGTCCCTTCAAGTTGTAAATGTTATCATGTCTTTGAAATGTAAACTCTCCAGGAGGTAATCAAAACCTGGCCCACAGAGACTGACGGAAAGAAAGGGGGCATACTTTGTAACGTATATCTGTAACATACGTTTGTAATATACATCTGTAGAAGTTCCTTTGTTCACCGCATTATAATGACCTCTCATCGGATTTTAACCCTGGCCACTGTTAAGTCTTGTGTTTCTTGCACACAGCACTGGTTTTTCTCTGAGCCTTTGGCAAAAAGTGTTCCTGCAAAAGTGCTTCATTTTCAAGAGATTCATGGAAAAGACTGACAAATATGTTTCTCCTAACTAAGATCAATTTGCCTTCGCATGGGAGGGACAATGATGAACCTTTCAAGTGCTTCCCCCTGGGCTGCCTGCACAGCCCCACCATATGTCCCGGAATGGTTGCTGGGACCTGTCCCTGTTCTCCTTCCCCACATCAGTACCATGGGCCAATTACATTGATGATACAATGGTAACATGGGAAGACTTGTCTCTGCTGCAGGACAAAGACTTACTGGAGCATCTGCAAGGGAGAGGATGGGCAGGGAACCCTCAGAAAATTCAAGATCCAGACGCTGCTGTAAGGTTTTTGGTGTTGTCTGGTTGGGTAAAAGCTGTGATTAATACGGTGCAAGCCCTTGTAGGAATTTTGAGGTTCTGAGGGCTGTTAAAAAAATTTTTTTTTAATGTTTATTTACTTTTGAGAGGGGGAGGGGCAGCGAGAGCGGGAGACACAGAATCCAAAGCAGGATCCAGGCTGGAGCTGTCAACACAGAGCTGGACACGGGGCTCCAACTCACGGACCGCATGATCATGACCTGAGCCGAAGTCGGACGCTTAACCGACTGAGCCACCCAGGGGCCCCGAGCCTTGGGATTTAAAATGCCTTTCTTGTTAAAAGCATGAGGCAAGTGCTATTGGTTTAAAAAGCCTCCTCACTCGTGATTATTTAAATTGTCTCTTTCCATCCTGTGTTTATGTAAGTGCTGAATCATGAAATTGTACACCTGAAACTAATATTACGCTGTATGTTAACTAACTGGAATTAATCAACACATTAATTAAATTTATTTTATTTGTATTTCTTTATTTTTTTTAATTAAAAAACTTTAAGAAATTGTATCCTCCTTGATTTTTTCCCCCTATATACATGGAGATTCAAACAGATTATATCAAAAGGAGAAAAGAATTTTAACAGAGTCCTCCATAAGGAGGAAAAAGCTTTTTGGGAGAAGAAAGATGTGCTGGGGTCAAGGAATACTGGTTTGGCCTAAAACATGAGGCTTTCTCTATAGGATATCAACACAAAATAACAGAATCATGTAGATTTTATTCTAGTGTGGTTGTTAGTAACGGTAACAGTAATGACCAACTTTTTTGTCTGTTTGTTTTGTTTCAGCTTCTAGACATTAATTCTTATCCTGATAAGTTTTTAAAAGGCTCGGGTCGAAGACCTTTCGTTTCTGAGACTCAACTAGAAACAAAGCCAATAAAGGCATGCAGGCGTCGTGGTTCCCTATTTACATTCCTTGAAACCAGGAAGTCCTTTTGACTCTCAGGAGATCACTTCCTTTTAGTTCCGTTTATGTACTAGATTTTTCTCCTCTTATGTTCCATAAAGAACTCCCCAGTTTTCCCACAATGACCCCCCCCCTTTTCCACCTGGGGTGTTATTTCCTCAGCTGGACGAGAAGCCCCTAGAGGGCAGGATTTAGGCCTGGGGGTTCCTGTCATAAGACAGCACTGGGCACTGTTTTTGTTCTCAGGCAGTGGGATGGTGTCAGCGACTTCTCCTTGATGTTCTGGGTGAGCAAGAGGGCGTTTGTGGACTTTGGGAGGAAGCCCGTATTCGTGGCAGAGAGAGATTAGGCACGAAGGCTCCCGGAGATGGTCCGTAACAAGTGTTGGCAGCTGGCAAAGACCGTGGAGGCACATTGGCACTTGGTCAGCGGGTGTGGCCGGGTGATGTTAGAGAAGGTCGAGTTCAGACCGGGGATTGGGATGCTTGTGGGCAGGGGGAGTGGCGCCGGGACAGGGTGCTGCCTGTGGCGGTGGGCTGGGAATCTCTGGGGAAAGTGGCTTGAAGCATAAGACAAGTGTCAAGTGCTCTTTTGAACGTGGGGGTGGGGTGGGTGGGGGGGAATCGATTGATCGAAGTTCTTCTTCTAAACGTGTTAGATGGGTTTGTGTAGTAGGTTAGGAATTAAAAGACAGGAAAAGAACAGTGATATTCGGAGCAACACTCCTGACTAATGTTCTGTTTCATTTAAAAGAACATAACCCCCATCTTAGAAAATAAACTCTTCTGGGGCGCCTGGGTGGCTCAGTGGGTTAAACGTCTGATTCGGCTCAGGTCACAACCTCGAGATCCGTGAGTTCGAGTCCCGCATCAGGCTCTGTGCCCACAGCTCAGAGCCTGGAGCCCGTTTCAGATTCTGTGTCTCCCTCTCTCTCTGCCCCTCCCCTGTTCATGCTCTGTCTCTCTCTGTTTCAAAAATAAATAAAGAAAAAACATTATAAAAAAAGAAAATAAACTCTTCCTGGGGCACCTGGGTGGCTTAGTCGGTTGTGCTCCGGACTTCGGCTCAGGTCATGATCTCACGGTTGCAGAGAGTTCGAGCCCTGCATCGGGCTCTGTGCTGTTAGCACAGACCCTGTTTTGGATCCACTGTTCCTCCCCCACTCTCTCTGTCCCTCCCTTAAAAAATAAACAGTAAAAAAAAAGAAGAAGAAAATAAACTCTTCCCTCCCCATTGACATGACTGGGGAGAAGTTCCCATGATCCATGTGACACACAGTCCTGACATGATGAGCACACAAAGACAAGCTATTTCCGAGCTTCTAGGGAAGGATCTGAACTCTCTCCTCAGGAAAATTTGGTCTTTCAACTTAGACATCATTCTGCTGACAAAGACTAGCTCTGGGACTGTGAAGTCTAGGAAAACAGTTCCTTCATTTTGTGAATGGATACGGTTCCGGTGCGGTGAACGGAACACTCTGAATATCTATGGAACAATCTACCTTCTTGCCGCTTTGGCCTGATAGTCTCGTATTTTTGGTTCAATAGAGCTGTGGCTTCTAAGCTCCCTGAGATTCCTTGTTTCTATACAGCATGTATAGAATGAGGCTTGGCCAATCCCCATCCAGATCTTCATCCCTCCCATTGTGCCTGAGGCTGTGACTTCATCACCTGGATCACCTAGGAGGTGAGACAGCCTGGGGTAGAGAATTCCGTGCCTTCTCTCAGATCTCAATGGCGGAAGTTGAACCCGGGGCCAATTTACTCCCAAATGGTGTTCCTTGGCTCTACGCCCTGTTTGCTATGCTTTTTGTATTTTTTCTCTTTGTCATGTTCTCTCCCTTTTTACTTGAGATTGAACAGTATATAAAGAAATGTGAGTATATTTCCCCTCGGCCTTAGGACACAGGGGAGCTGAATGAGAGAATGTGTGTGTGGAGTGAGAAGGTACACATTGTAAGGCGGGGGACATGGAAACAATGTTTGCTGTTCTCTGAACTTCAAGGTCTTAATGACCCAGGGCTAAACGTCTTAGAAATCCTAATCTTACAGGTGCTAGAAGTATCTGGGGGACACAGGCCAGGACTGGACTAGGAAGCCCATCTGTGGTACATGTATAAAGCATGAGGAGGTATCTAGGGCCCTGCCTGAGTTGATGTAAGGCCCAGGTATAAATTCACAGGAAACTCTGTGTAATCTGGCGACAGATGAAGGAATTTTCAGATGATGGTCTCTGACCCACCATGCTTCGTGTTAGTCTTGCTTAGATGCAGGTATTCTCTGCATGATGCTGTGCGTAAGGATAAAGGAAATGAGATAAAGATGGGCCATCTGAGAAGGCCAGGTGAGTATTCTTTGCCCTTCACTTCTCTATGGGCTCATTGTGTCCATAAACTGTCAGCTCTAGTAACTTTCATGGTCAATGTGCTAGATGGCCGAGAACTCCACATCCAAATCTAGTCTTTGCGAGACAGCCCCCTCACACTCTGTTTAGCCTAGGAATTCTGAGTCTTCTCTCTAGGGAGAACAGTTTTCAAGCAGAAGTTTGGTTCTGAGGCCTCACTGACTTCAGAATCTAGGGTCTCCTGTAGGTGGAAAAGTTTCTCTTTACTCATCTATACTTGTGATGTTTCTCCTGATAGTTTCGTTGACGAAGCTACCATTAAAAAAAAAAAAAATTAGGTGGGGCTCCTGGGTGGCTCAGTCGGTTGAGCATCTGACTTCGGCTCAGGTCACGATCTCACGGTCAGTGAGTTCGAGCCCCACGTCAGACTCTGTGCTGAGAGCTTGGAGCCTGGAGCCTGCTTCCGATTCTGCGTCTCCCTTTCTCTCTGACCCTCCCTCGTTCATGCTCTGTCTCTCTCTGTCTCAAAAATAAATAAACATTAAAAAAAAATTAGGTGACTCTTGTCCAGGCACCTGTTATAAAGTTGCCTTTGTGACAGGGATAAGTGCAGAAGGACCTTGTAGGGATAGATCATCGTACAAATAGCCCGAGGAGGCTGGAAGTCCACTGTTCAGGGGGACATTCTGACCACCAGGTGACCATAATTCCTGAAAATTGTGTGCGTGCCTCTCTAGGTAAGGTCAGCTCTAGCTTTCTTTGTGCTTTTCTGTGACTCCCTTGTGACATCACAGGGAGATAACACACCAGATTCTTGCGTTTTTGGTCCTTGAACTTAGACATCACTGAGTTCTTCGTGTCCCTCATATCACCCCCTCAATAAGAATGTTACATGTTAAACTTCTGTTTTCTCTCTGCTATGGAAGGTGAAAGTTGGGGGCTCTTTGGTGAGGACTGACTTTTACAGCTCATTCGACAACTCCCATTATATAATTATTATAACAATATAACGATTCTATAACAGTAACATTATATAGCTTTATTATTATAAAGGGTGGGGTTATCTTCATAGGTAGAATCAGGACAAAGTCACAAGAAAGGGTTGGCCATTGAGGAACAAATGCTTTAGAGATTAAAACATTTCTTATACATTCATCTTGAGAAACAATAATCTCTTGTGACAACTGTTTCCCAGACTATAGGTCGAGAGTCATATAATCCTGTCCCGACAGGATTTTGCTGAGTGCTTAATGATGTACAGAAAATTTTATGATCTGCCTCTGTTTCATTGTGTCTGCTGTCCCAAATGGGTACCACCATTCTGCTGGGTCACAGTTATAATCAAACAATTTTCTTCCTGTTTCAGGCTGCCCTCTGGAGTCTCCAAGGAGAGACGTTCTGGGAAGGAAGGAAGACAGGATGAGAAAAGATCCCTCTCTACTTGTGAGGGTAGCAAGGGATTCTGAGGCTGACATCTGCACCCCTGGGCCATCAGTTTGAGAGTGGCTGAGCCTGTAAGGAATCACCTGTGACATCGTATTCCAGACATGAGAGGGCTTCTGAGTCCCTCATTATGTATGTTTATACTGAAAAAAAAAAAAAAAAGAGAGAGAGAGAGAAAGATAATAAATATTTTGAGACTCTCAGAAAAGTTCTATGTTGCCAGGAATTTTTTTGTCGAACTTACCCTCAGTTGCTTATAGTCAATCCAAATCTCACATTTCCCATTTTCAGGCAAAATCCTAGGCGAATGACTTACATTCTCTTATTCTCCTAAACAACATGTAGAGTCATTCTTTCAGGGGAAGAAAAGCAAACACTTAATCCAGGACCACAGCTGAGTCCTCCTCCTCCCCACCCAAGATGATCACACAGCTAATTCATCAGAACGTTCTGAAATGTTCTGTCCAGATTGTTGTCTTATATAAGTGCCAGGCTCCTTTCACATCTTAGCGTAGACTATAGTTTCATGAAGTCAGACGCATAGGGAAGGGATTGGTATAGATTGGTATAGATTTCCTCTTTCGACCCAAAGCATCATGGCCCCCCAAATGCTGCTGCTTCATTACCAATGGAACCATTTTCATGGAAGTTCCTCCACATGATTCTCACTCATTCTTACCTACCACATATGTCTACTTACCGGCTCTTCCTCTCTGTTCCCCTCTTTTAACCAAGTGCAATATTTTTGTCATGATGGGTCATTAAAGCCTCTGTGTGGAAACCTCTAGTTGGAGAGGTATATAAGCGATTGTGGAGAGAGAGAAGGAGGAAGGGGGAGAGAAGGAAAGGAAAAGGGGAGGGAGGGAAAAAGAGGGAAGTGACATCTTGCTTGGAGATTCGGAATAAGTTGTTGCGAGATGAAAGAGACTAACATAAGAGACTCTTAAAAACTGAGAACGAACTGTGGGTTGATGGGGGCTGGGAGGGAGGGGAGGGTGGGTGAGGGGCATTGAGGAGGGCACCTGTTGGGAGGAGCACTGGGTGTTGTATGGAAACCAATTTGACAATCAATTTCATACTTAAAAAAAAAAAGAAATTCTAAAGAAAGGTCTGGCACTACCTGTCAGAACAGTTATGTGACAGATTTCCGCATTGCATTCAATGTTAAAATTGTCTGGAAAAGTCCCTTCATTGTATAATAATTACAATAAGTTAAAACAATTTTTTCCAATGTTTATTTATTTTTGAGACAGAGAGAGACAGAGCATGAGCAGAGGAGGGGTAGAGAGGGAGGGAGACCCAGAATCCAAAGCAGGCTCCAGGCTCTGAACTGTCAGCACAGAGCCCGAGGCGGGGTTCGAACTCACGAGCTGTGAGATCATGACCTGATCCAAAGTCAGATGCTCAACCGACCGAGCCACCCAGGCGCCCCTACAATAACTTTTGAGAAAGAACTGTTAGATTTCAATTCACTTTGATGCTCACAAAACTGTATGGCTGCCTATTAAGATGCTATTCAAAATGGCCATGGGATATTGTTTTTGTGTGTGTGTGTCTGCATCTGTTTCTTTGCATGGAGCGTTGTCTCTTGGTATGTCTGTGTATCTTTTTTTCTTCAAAAGTGCTCCTGCAGTTTCTGGGGGCACATTTCTCTTTTTCCATTTTCCATTTTCTTGTTCTCTTTTTATATGTTATTTATTAGATTTTATTGATTCTTTTTTTAATATTGATTATTTTAAAAAGTTTTTTTTAAATGTTAATTTTATTTTTGAGAGAGAGAGAGTGAGAGCAGGGGAGGGGCAGAGAGAGAGAGAGAGAGACAGAGGAACCAAAGCAGGCTCTGTGCTAACAGCAGAGAGCCCGACGCGGGGCTTGAACTCACAAACGGTGAGATCATGACCCGAGCTGAAGTCAGATCGTTAACCAACTGAGCCCTCCAGGTGCCCCTAGAAAGTTTTAAATAATTTTTCTCATCTTCATCTCTGGGTTTGTGCATGTCTTTCCTATTTCGGTTTTCTAAATTTCTTCAAAAAACCAACTCTTGGTTTCATTGATCTGCTCTACAGTTTTTTTACATTTTATATTGTCTATTTCTGCTCTGATCTTTATTATTTCTCTTCTTCTTCTGGGTTTGGGGTGTCTTTGCGGTTCTTCTTCTAGTTCCTTTAGGTGTGCTGTTAGATTTTGTATTTGGGATTTTTTTGTCTCTTGAGATGGGCTTGGATTGCAATGTATTTTCCTCTCAGGACTGCCTTCGCTGCATCCCAAAGCATTTGGATTGTTGTATTTTCATCTTCATTTGTTTCCATATATTTTTAAATTTCTTCTCTAATTGCCTGGTTGACCCATTCATTCTTTAGTAGGGTGTTCTTTAACCTCCATGCTTTTGGAGGTTTTCCAGACTTTTTCCTGTGGTTGATTTCAAGTTTCATAGCATTGTGGTCTGAAAGTGTGCATGGTATGATCTCAATTCTTTTATACTTATGAAGGGCTGTTTTGTGACCCAGTATGTGATCTATCTTGGAGAATGTTCCATGTGCACTTGAGAAGAAAGTATATTCTGTTGCTTTGGGATGCAGAGTTCTAAGTATATCTGTCAAGTCATTCTGATCCAATGTATCACTCAGGGACCTTGTTTCTTTATTGATCCTGTGTGTAGATGATCTATCCGTTGTTGTAAGTGGAGTATTAAAGTACCCTGCAATTACCACATTCTTATCAATAAGGTTGCTTATGTTTGTGAGTAATTGTTTTATATATTTGGGGCTCCTGTATTCGGCGCATAGACATTTATAATTGTTAGCTCTTCCTGATGGATAGACCCTGTAATTATGATATAATGCCCTTCTTCATCTCTTGTTACAGCCTTTAATTTAAATTTTTTTTTCAACGTTTATTTATTTTTGGGACAGAGAGAGACAGAGCACGAACGGGGGAGGGGCAGAGAGAGAGGGAGACACAGAATCGGAAACAGGCTCCAGGCTCTGAGCCATCAGCCCAGAGCCTGACGCGGGGCTCGAACTCACGGACCGCGAGATCGTGACCTGGCTGAAGTCGGACGCTTAACCGACTGCGCCACCCAGGCGCCCCTACAGCCTTTAATTTAAAGTCTAGTTTGTCTGATATAAGTATGGCTACTCCAGCTTTCTTTTGACTTTCAGTAGCACGATAGATAGTTCTCCATCCCCTCACTCTCAATCTGAAGGTGTCCTCAGGTCTGAAATGAGTCTCTTGTAGACAGCAAATAGATGGGTCTTGTTTTTTTATCCATTCTGATACCCTATGCCTTTTGGTTGGAGCATTTAGTCCATTTACATTCAGTGTTATTATAGAAAGATATGGGTTTAGAGTCATTGGGATGTCTGTAGGTTTCATGCTTGTAGCGATGTCTCTGATACTTTGTCTCATAGGATCTCCCTTAGGATCTCTTGTAGGGCTGGTTTAGTGGTGATGAATTTCTTGTTTTTGTTTGGAAAGACCTTTATCTCTCCTTCTCTTCTCAATGACAGACTTGCTGGATAAAGAATTCTCGGCTGCATATTTTTTCTGTTCATCACATTGAAGATTTCCTGCCATTTCTTTCTGGCCTGCCAAGTTTCAGTAGATAGGTCTGCCACTAATCTTATGGGTCTCCTGTTATAAGTTAGAGCATGTTTATCCCTAGCTGCTTTCAGAATTTTCTCTTTATCCTTGTATGTTGTGCAGTTTCACTATGATATGTCGTGCAGAAGATCGATTCAAGTTACGTCTGAAGGGAGTTCTCTGTGCCTCTTGGATTTCAATGCCTTTTTCCCTCCCCAGAGCAGGGAAGTTCTCAACTACGATTTGTTCAAGTACACCTTCAGCCCCTTTCTCTCTCTCTTCCTCTTCTGGAATCTTATTATACGGATATTGTTCTGTTTGATTGCATCACTTAGTTCTCTAATTCTCCCCTCATACTCCTGGATTTTTTTTATCTTCCTTTTTCTCAGCTTCCTCTTTTTCCATAATTTTATCTTCTAATTCACCTATTCTCTCCTCTGCCTCTTCAATCCTAGCTGTGGTTGTCTCCATTTTATTTTTCACCTCATGTATAGCATTTTTAGCTCCTCGTGACTATTTCTTAGTCCCTTGATCTCTGTAGCAATAGATTCTCTGCTGTCCTCTATACTTTTTTCAAGCCCTGTGATTAATTTTATGACTATTATTCTAAATTCTTGTTCCATTATATTGCTTAAATCGTTTTTGATCAATTAGTTAGCTGTCGCTACTTCCTGGAGTTTTTTTGAGGAGAGTTCTTCCGTTTCATCATTTTGGGGAGTCCCTGGGGTGGCGTGGAACTGCAGGGCACTTCCCCTGTGCTGTCTGGAGTAACTTGGGTTGGTGGGTGGGGCTGCAGTCATGCGATGTCTGTCCCCAGCCCACTGCTGGGGCCATGGTCAGACTGGTGTGTACCTTATCTTCCCCTCTCCCAGGGGCAGGACTCGCTGTTGAGTGGTGTGGCCCCTGTCCAGGCTACTTGCACACTGCCAGGCTTGTGGTGCTGTCTTCATGGGATCTGGCATATTAGCGGGGGTGGATCCTCTTCTGTGGGCCTCTGGTCTATGCTTGGCTCCGGAGAGTCCGTTCTGCTAGCCTTCTGGCAGTTTTCTGGGTTATTTAGGCAGGTGTGGGTGGAATCTAAGGGATCGGCAGGACGAGGTGAGCCCAGCGCCCTCCTATGCTGCCATCTTCCCCACCCCCCTCGGTTTTCTAAATTTCTGATTATTTCCTACTCAGTGTAATTTCTTTTACTTTCTCTTTTTTTCTGTCTAGCAACCCAACAAATTTCTTGCAAATGTTTCATTCTTCATGTTTCACTACTTTGGAATGAGAGAATACAACTCTGAGGCCCTATTGCCCTGCTCCCCCAAACATAATCCTTCTCCAGGTTGAATGAATTTAAGGAGACCCAGGGCTCTAAAATTAGACATCAAACAGCCGTCTAGGTATTTAAAGCAGGAAGTGGTTTACTACGGGAAATTATATGCTTACAAATTCCTCATCATGAAGTTTCAAAAACCTCAGGAAACCACTGCACCGTGTTGCAAAACCAAGTCTAGCGAATTTCAGGGCAAGTGCAAAGGCCCCTACAAAACAAAATCTCCCACAGACAGGAGAACCCAGCACAGTGCAACCTGGCCCAGATTCCACCCGTACAGGTTTGCGGGAAATGTAGTTCTCAGTCTT